GAAAGAGAGAACATGGCAGCAGGAATGTTCTGGGTTTGGGAAGAAGAGAAGAGAAGGGCAGAGAGGTGCAACAGGGAAGAGATTGAATATTGAAGTCAGTCAAGAGAAGAGCGTGAATGTAGAGCAAAATCCATGGCGCCATGTCTGATGGCTAATCTTTTGCTCTTGTGTTGGATGGTGTTCTCTGTGGTAAGCAGCAATTTAGTAGAACATGCTGTTGGGTTTGGGTGGCAGTCAGTTTTATTGTCATAAGAGAGCACCCCAGTGATTTCTTTCTCGTATCCAAATTTTACTTCATTTTGGGAACGATACAATGTGCTAACATTTATAGCCACGTAATTAAAAAGGGGAGTAAAATAAAATAATTTTTACTTCTTTTCTAACTCAACTCAAGGCAGTTGATAAGTGGCTGGTATAGGTGGAAACTGCATATGTGGAACTGTAACTCAGGAAAGGCAATATATTCCTAATTTACCTAGAAGTAGCTGGATTAGAAGAAATAATTAGGTCAGGCAGACAGCAGCACTTTGGTCTTCATTAAAGCAGTCTGATTTCTTTTTCCAGGTGTCTACCTGAGTGTGAAAAAAAAGGAGATGTTGCTGATTTATAAGCTTGATTGAGCTTTTAGAGCTTTTATAACCTTTATTCCTTAAGGTGGTGGCATTTATTTTTCAGACTTGAATCAAGATGGTGTGCTTTAATGAGCAGGAAAGCTGCACTGGACTTTCACGAGGCCCAGTGCACTTTTTGGGAATAGGTTTTGAAGCATGCACTTCCCTAGTAATTACAGTTTGTTCATACTGTTCCTTTGAAAACGGCTACAAATTTCTAGTAACCCAGAATGCCACAGACTGAAGTTATATATGCCGGTCTCATTTGCTGCCTTGCTACCCAACTTCTTTCCTGGGCAATTTGAGATTTTGAAATGACTGATTTTTCAGCTACTCTCTTGAGCTTTCTCTCCGTGAGGGACAATTTTGGTGGCAACCTGAGATAAAGAGCTTTTTTTTTTTTTTTTTTTAAACGGTGGGGACTTTTTAGCAAGGAAACTTAGGGCAGGCTAGTTCCGTCCGTATGTTTGCTGCTGGCAAGCAAACACTTTGTTATACTGACAGCGTTTTGACATCTAAGCTGATCTGTTTGCTGAAGGAGGTGGTCTATATTTTCCTTTTTTTCTATTTAAATTTATTTTCCCTTATGATGTTGCATCACGGCAGGGTTTTGTCAACTTTGCTTATCACATCAGCAAAAGAAGAAATAATGTATTTATCAGGAACTCAGCGTACGCTGATTTCAACTGGTGATAGCAGAAATTAAGCACTTAGATAAGCAGATTTCTAGCAGGCTTTGTATGATTTGGATATACGGGAACATCTTGGTCAAGTGCATTTTTTCACCTCCCTCCTCAAATAGCATGGAAATGCAGTAATCAAAGAACCGATTGTGGTGAGTCTCTGCTATTTAGTGGGTAGCAGGCATAATAGCCAGCGCAGCACAGATGCAGACAAAATGGCAGTGCTTAGTTACTATGGTGACCACCTTGGGTATGACTTTTCAAATAGAAATAGACTTTATAATAGAATATTTCAGTTTACAGTATGTTCCTGGAAGGAAGTGGCAGATTCTATAAGTAAGCTGCAACTGTCTTAAGTGAGAATTTGCTTTACTGCAAGGTTTTTAATTGTTTGTAGTTTTCTGTATGTATTTTACTACATCAGTTAGCTCTGAGTTAAGAATTTTACCATCTGTCAAATAAAAGGTTGCCAGTTATAATACCTGTAGTAAGTTTATTGGAAGCAATGGTGGTGTCAGCCTTATGAGGTAGACCAAAACTGGAAACAGACTCCGTAGCAAGTCTAGAACTGTTCTTCATTGGGATTGGTTACAATAATGGCATTGTGCAAGACTGGTTGTAATTTACCTACTCTTATTTTAACTTTTATCAAATAAACTAGCTTTGGAGTCCTTCTTTTTAGTTCTGAAAATGTTAATTAAAATATTGTTATACGATTTGATCTGACTTCAGTTCTTTTTTCTCCCATTACAAAGGCTTCTTTGAAGCTTTAACAAGCCTGTTTTCTAAATCCCTGAAAAGAGATATTATAATTGTCTTGGTTAATCATTTATTTATTTATTCAATTTTTTATAGCCATCTCAACCAAATGACTCTGGGCAGCTCACAATGCTAAGTACTATAGTTGTTAACACTTCAGCCAGCTTCTTTTCAATATCCAGTAAAATGTTCGTATCTGGGTCATTCTCTTGACTTGTCACTTGTATTTCGACTTTAAATGCCTTTTTTATTTATAATCCACATTTCTTAATCCAATATTTCTGATTCTACTATTTCTGCATGAAGCAAGATTTGTTTCACATCTGTCATTCCTTTATTAACACTGAATGGTTGTCTATCCGTAGAAGTGTATGTTGTTACTGATATCACAGTTACTAATTCTGGCCCCATTCTTCAAAGATCTTCTCTAATATTTAAAAGCTGAAGCATTTTGTATCATTTTGTAAATTCCAATACTGATCAAAACTTTTGGTTTACATATTTTTTTGCCCAGAATCTTTAATCCCCTGTAGTGTTCAATTTAAATCATAATGTCAACGCTAACATTGGATGTTCCTGCTCTGACAACTGATGAAAATGCAGCCATTGTCTCTTCTCCTTTAACATGCTTTTCTTACTTATTCAGGTGCAGCAGGGGTGAGTGGGTGGGATGTAAGCTCCCTTAGCCATAATAATAGCGCTGCTGTGGGAACTCAAGGACGAACTGATAACATTTCCACGGGCTGAGGAGCTGAGGAGAAAGCCCGTGCTTGAAGCTAATTGGGGAATGTGTTTTATGACAGTTTATTGGAGATGGGAATTGTACTTTGTTACTTTGTATCTGGGGGAAGGGAATTTAGTTTTTGGGTTCAGCTATGTAGTGCCGATACTTTGTTTCCCGAATAAAGGTTCTTTAAGGAAGAATTTTGCCTCGAAGTTCTTTTGATGGGTTTCATCTAACACATAACCTATATATGATATAACTTACAGTAGACAAAATAACCTTTTTCCCCATGAAAAGCTGTTTATTTTATATAGTTAGTTCCAAAATCTTATAGTAAAAATTTAAAAGTTCCAAAATTTTTAGTAGTAGCACTAGTAAATGCATTGCAATCAAAAGACCTAGCATGATTTTTTATTTAAGTGAGAAAACTAGACCCTCTCATGCCTGTCAGGTTAATGTTATTCACATAATCAAATGCAAATAAAATGCTTTCATCTGTTGCCCAGTCATTTGTATAAAATTTCCAAAGTGCCCGATTTCTTCATTCATCAAATCACATTCTGACTAATGCTAAAGGAATCAGAGAGTTAGCCTAGTCTAAGTGGAAATGCCAAGTACTGTACTTTAGCAACGAACAGATTTATTTTCAGTTTAGATTCATTTCTATCATGGAACATTAGTGCCAAAAGTTATGCCTACACATGTAGGATTAGGTGCCAGGCTTTAAGAACATAGTTGTTTGTTTTTGTTTTCTTGGGGAAAAAATGCAAGAAATAGTTTGAGATTCTGATTGCTGGCCCAGTAAATTCAAATGCCACTGTGTGTTACTGCTTGCTTGCTTATTTATTTAACATTTTTCCTTTCCGCTTGGAGGACACTCATTATATAAACTTATAAGATCAGCACTGAGAAAAAAAGGGGGGGGGAATCCAAGGTAATACCTGTTATTGTTGTCTATTGTCTATTTAAGAGCTATATTATTTCTAAGGTAAGCTAAGAGCTATGTGCTTGCAGGAGTTGGTGTAACTGGGTGAATTCTTTTTTTTCTTGTCTTCATATACCTAAATCAGAAGGTGCTTTGTTACCTCCAAATTCAAGTTGAAATTTTTGTTCATCACTTCGCAGTTTAGGCAAACTTTTAAATGAACAGATAGGTATTAATTCAGCACTTTAGAAATAACAAGTAGCAATAAGTAGGGGTTTTTTTAAAGGCTGCTTTAATTAGGGTATTTGTGTAATCAATGTGGAACACAGTGTGTAATCAGTGGAACAACCTGCCTCCAGAAGTTATGGATGCTCCAACATTGGAAGTTTTTAAGAAGAGATCGGACATTTGTCTGTAATGGTATAGGTTTTCCTGCCTGAGCAGAAGGGTTGGACTAGAAGATCTCCAAGATCCCTTCCAACTCTATTATTCTGTTATTCTGTTATTTATGTATTCCTGGTTGTCAAGAGAGCCAGCCCTTCAGAGCGCTGCATAGATTGTATGTCTAATCTGAAGCCAATTCAGATGTACATAAAATAGAGTAAGGGACATGCATCTCCAAACAGCCTTCCTTAGATATTGTTGGTTTCTCTTCAAGAATTCAAAGCTATTGATGCACCATGGAAACCATAAAAGATGTAGCTTTTTCCTCCATAAATCGAATTCTATTGGGCATGTTTGCCACAGTTATCTCAATCAGCCTTACAAGGATCGCTGTTAAATAAAGCTTCATTCCAACTGCCTGAATTGGACAGATTATATTGTGCTCTTGGTTATGCTTTGCTCCTTAACCTATAGCTGATGTCTAGTTTGACATTTTCTGTTGTTCAAACTGATTTTTCAATCTATAACTATGCCCGACCCCCACTCCCCATTTCAGGAGGATAGCCAGATGATTGAAGAGGTACAAACAGACAAAATAGAAACCCTGGAAAGAAAATATGCAGAAGCACTTAAGAGGCTATGGAAGGATCCAGGTATCCAGGAGTGCTACCACCGACGGAGAGAATACCAATTGTCAGACTCAGCTAAATAGTAAGTATGGTAATCTTTCCAAATTTCACTTTGGCTATTTTAAAATATTTTTAAAATTGTATGGCTTATGATTGCTTTGTTGTATGGAATGTTAATGAATAGATTTTACTAAGTGTGCATGTTCAGTTTTTATGATCTTGAACAGTTAATAAAACATAGTTGAAACAAATGCACGACAGGATCACGTAGTGTTTCTCTGGTTGGAACTGGAAATTCTCCCCCCCTTTCTTTCCTCTTTTGGGGGGGGTCCTTGGAGGGCTGCAGTGAGCTTGTTGACCTAGTGACATCGTTGGAGGCTCAAAGCTGAAAGTTTTAAGTCTCTTTTCAGAGGGGGGACGCATTGAGTTTACCCCCAATTTTGATAGGTCTTTCAGAAGCTTGGTTTTTGTTTTCTTTATTAGAGAAAAATATTGCTATCGAAAAAATAATTGTAATGCCAAATTTTGATCACATTGTTGTAGGAGACTCTTGTCATCAGTATAATGCAATTTTTTTTCTGTGTGAGGGATATGCATATAAAATGTTTCCAGTCGATTGTCCTTCTTTGTTAAATATTACAAGTGCTTCCTGTACATTATCTAGCTACCTGTAGAATAATTGGATATTTTATCTCTGAAGCTATCATCATCTTCACCTTACACACTTTGCTCACCAAAGAAACTCTGAATACATACAGATAATTGAATTTAAAAACAGAAATAAAGTAATATCAAGATGCACATATTTCAGATCACATCAGGGAACAACATTAATGGGGAAACAATAATCAAGAATTGGAGTTACAGATCACTTTATCTCAGTTCCTGCTGGACAAGTAAAATCTTTAGGGGTCTTTTGAAAGCCAGCAGGTTCAGAACGTATAGGCTTCAGAAGGAGGATATAGGGCCGTGGCAGATATAGAGAAGCATTACAATTCTCTGCAAACTTAAAGTAGAAGTAAGATTTCCACAACGGCATCCTGATTTTAAATTCTAATACATTTACATTTAATAAAATAGATTTTAAAAGCTTTTTTTTTGCTATATTAGCTTTCATGTGAAATACCACTTTTAGTCTCTGTTGGATTAATTTATAATCATGTGAAATGCATGAACTAAACAGATGTGTGGCTTTGATTTTGAAGTTTCCTTTCAGATTTGGAACGCATTGCTATGCCATCATTTGTGCCAAACGAGCAAGATGTCCTCAGAGTGAGAATACCAACCACTGGAATCATTGAATACCCTTTTGTGCTACAAAAAGTTATTTTTCGGTAAGTCTATCCTTAAGGCCTTCTCCTAGTCATCCTGATTTCACAAATGATCAAAAATTGCACCAGTTGTTTTTTGTAAACGGATAACCGAAAGAAATACATAAGACTAGATAAATCCTCTCCAGTCTTGTTTCACCTTTCCTATTATGCTGCATCCATTTCCGTCTGTAAATAAAGAATTTCAGAATCCTAAAATCAAGACTTGAAAAATATTATTTAGGAGGTCAAGTCCAAATTAAAATGCCCATGGTGGAAGGCTAACCTGCCTTTGCTTGATCATATTCAGTGAAAAGAAGCATTCTGTCTGTAATTGGTTCCATTGTTCAATTGTGCTTAATTTAAAAGTCTATTTCCTAATCCCTGTCAGTTGTCCGACTCTGGGAATGGTGCTCATCTCAGTTTCTTGGCCAAGGGAACCAGCGTTGTCCAAAGACAATTTCTGTGGTCATATGGCACATATGGCTATATGCCAAAGGAGCATGGAACACTGTTATCTTCCCACTGAAGTAGCAGCTATTAATCTACTTACATTTGTGTGCTTTTGAACTGCTAGGTGGGCAGGAGTTGGGGCATGTAATGGGAGCTTACCCCATTCTGCAGAGCTCGGGTCTTGAACCCGGGCTATCAGCTCTCCAACTGACAAGCTCAGTGTCTTTAACTGCTGAGTCATCGCACCCCATATTTCCTAATCTGTATATTGCTAAAACTGTGGTTGTCTTGACCTCTAACTGGATGAAATGGTGCATCATAGGGCAACAATTTTTGAATAAGGTACCTCAGCTGGACTCACTTACAGAATGTGTCCAAGATCTAGGACCCATGACTCCCAAGGAATGAAATTTGGGAAAGTTATGGCTGCTTCAGTGCTATTGGCTGCTGCTGCACTTCTGGACTGCTGTAATCACCTGAGTTTCATTTTCAACAGTCCATGATAGTTTCCCAGCCAGTCTTGCAATCCCTTGCTCTTTCCCCCACCCGGCATGGGCAGCAGTAGGAACTGTTTCCTCGAGAGCTGCTATAGCCCGGTTTCAGTGTCTTCCACATTTGGACTCACTTTTTCCAGTGCATTAGAAGTTAGGGAAGAAAAAAATAACTCTTGCACTATGCATGTTCACTGCTTCTCTTTTACTGCAGCAGCCATTAGGAATGTGTGTTGTGGAAGAGTTGTGGTGATGGGATGAAGTTACACATTATTTGAGCCAACAATAGAATTGGTACCAATGAAGCTCAGATATCAGACTTCACCGTTGAAATAACTTTTCCATCATAATGGAACATAATTTATCTGTTAATTTTTCCAAATGTAAAATGTAAAAATCAATTGTATAAAAATCAATATATCTTTCTAGCAAAGTGCAGCCTCAAGGTTGGTGCTTTGTGAAGTGTTTTACAGGATGATTAGTTATTTATGCTCCTTTTGACAGAATGGTAGATGTTGGTGGACAAAGATCCGAAAGAAGGAAATGGATTCACTGCTTTGAAAATGTGACCTCAATTATATTTTTAGTTGCACTGAGTGAATATGACCAAGTCCTGGCAGAATCCCATAATGAGGTAGGAAAACGAAAAGTAATTGCTGTCATAAATAGTTATTCAATACTCAGGTGTGCATCTTAACAGATATTACCATGGAAGGCTGACTTTTGTGCCAGTTATCTAGGGGGAAAAAAAGGAACTTGACAGAGAACAGCCCAACTATGCCCTTAACATAAAAACTATACCAACATAATTGGTTTGGACTTCTGACAGAGGTATATTCGTGCTCAACAAAAATAATAAAACATCCATGGTTGGAAATAAACTATTATATGATTGATAAATAAATAAATGACAATAAATAACTTGATCTCAATTGAGCCTGGAATTTTGGCTGTAAGTCACTGTGATTGTTAGGTGGGTCACCACATGACCTGATTCGATTTTATGACTGTTTTTCACAGGGGTTCGTAAAATGAGTCACCACAGTTCTTACACAAATGACATGGTCATTAAGTAAATCCCTTTTTCAGAATGGGCAGTTTTTGCTGTTTGGAAACCAATCAGGTAAAACTTTATTCCAGCCACTTGTGCTGGCTAACACATAGGACACTACTTCTACACCATCTGAAGCTCCTAAGTGATCTTTCAGAGACAATCACATGTACAAAGGAATAAAGGCCTGAATTCCTGTGACACAGTCCTCCTGCTACAGGTAGGGCCAACAATTGGTGCACCAGCCTGAGTTGGTCAAAGGTCCTCTGCCTACACCTTCCATTTGCTCACTGACATTAGCTTTAAGCATCCCCTAAGTCCTCCTTCAGTCTTTCTGTTCCTCCCTACTAATGAATTTTCTGATCTCATAATCTACACTCCACTAGGAGCCAGCCTCCAGGAACTTTGTACAGGTTGACTATGAGTTAGAAGGGCAATTGGGACCAGAATTTCCATCATTAAGCAATAGAATCATAAAACACAATGTCATGTGATTGCATTGCTTAACAATAGCAATCTTGGTGGTGCCCATGGCCATTGTTAAAGAAGATTGGAGGTTGTTAAATGAGCACCATCCCCACAACTTCCTACCAGCTTCTAACAGCCAACGTCAGCAGAAATTTGCAAATCCCTGGAGGATGGCAAGCAGGCCAACAGACAAGTAAATGGCTGTTGCTCAGTGGGAGAGAGTGCATAAGGGTGTGCAAATGCCCTGGAGGGCACATGGGTGGCCTGGGAGGCGAGTGCAGTACAATTTGGGGTGGCTGCTGCCGGGTGGGAGAGGCAGAGTGAGCTGCTGGGGAGGTATGGCACAAATGCTGCAATACTTGGGAAGGTGTGCAAGGGGGAACAACTGGTACAGACTTGGGATGGCTGTTCACAGGTAGGAGAAAGTGCACAAGTAGCTAGGAAGGCACTGAGTGAGCTCAGTCTAAGGGGTTGTGAGGGTATGTGAGCATAGCAAGGCTCAAGGAGGATGCATGAGGATCCAGGGATGGTTTATGGGTGACCAGCAAGGCATATCAAGAGCGCAGAGGACGGAGCATGTTGCGTGGGTGGAGGGAAGCTAATCTGAGCAATTTACAATCTTCTCTGCCAACTTCCCCATTGACTTTGCTTGTGGGAAGCTGGCAGAGAAGGTTGCCAATCATGATCGTGTGACCTTGGGACGCTGCATCTGTGTAAGTGGGAGCTGATGGCCAAGTGCCTAGATCGTAGCTACGTAACTATGGTGGTCCTGGGATGACAGGAACATTGAGGACAGGTCATGACCACCATCCTCAGCATTATGGTGACTTTGAACAGATGCTTATCGAACGGTCGTTAACCGGTATCGCAATCCTACAGTCCATTGAAATCCTCCAGCACAGATAACTGCAACAATAACTATAAAGCAGTCATAATAAACATTTCTAAGGAAGTGGTCTGCTATCAGGCAGCACCTCGATCTTGTAGCAGTGCTCATCTTAGTAATTCTTGTATGGTTGCAGTTTTACACAGTGCTTTTTTTCTAAAAAAAAAAAAAAAAAGGTGCCGGAACTCACACACGTCATACAACCCGCCTTGCCTACCTTACAAGGTTCCATCCAAAAAAGGTGCCGGAACTCCATTCTGGGCGTTCTACGAGAAAAAAAGCCCTGGATTTACATATGGATACATTTTGACTCCATGTTATTAGTCATACAGAAACATCACCATTCTTGGGACAGAATACTTGTTTTCTTGCCAACTGTGCCATTTGGAGGTGGTCCAGTAGTTTTCTGGAAGTGTGCCAGCACCAAGCATTTCCTCTTCTGGGACATATACTTTTGCAAAACTATTGCACTACTATCCCCAAAAGAAATGGATCATTGTGTTCCTGAGGTGGTGGGGAGGAAGTTTCAGTGTTCCCAGGAACATTCTGTCCACAGGCCTGTGAAGTTTTCCCAACTCCCCATGTCTATTTTAAGATGTGTAATAGAGTTTATGGCATTGTCTGGATAGCTAATATACTTGCCCAAATTAATTACATTTTGTGTACATGTGAGGATGCAAATAATGGTAGAGTACATTTTGTTTTGAGTATTAAATAAATGTACTTTAATTTTTGAAGATAACCTATTTAAAAATGCTTCTTTGTTCTTTTTATACTTTTTTTGTAGAATCGTTTGGAAGAAAGCAAGGCCTTATTTAAAACAGTAATTACCTACCCTTGGTTTCAGAAATCTTCAATCATCTTGTTCTTAAACAAAAAAGATATTTTAGAAGAGAAAATTATGTATTCTCATTTAATTAACTATTTTCCTCAGTTCACAGGTAAATAATTATTCTAAATAGGGCTTATCTCTGTTAGGCAGGGGTATAATTTCTTCTATTCGCTTACACAATTGGCACTCTCTTGGTAAAACCGGTCAGCTATCACGGTTCTTTCCTATACTATCAAAATTTGTGTTATTTTATTACTTGGAATACTTAGTATGTATTATTATAATTGAAGTTACACATTATCAGATTCTAATCCTAACAGATGGATACTGATGCTAGAACAAAAAATTATCATCTGTTCAATCCAGCATGTTTGAAAACAATGGACTGGATTAAAATATCTATGCTTATACCAATAAACATTGAAGGCAAAAGAAGGGAACGACGGAAGATAATTAGATCAGGGGTCCTCAACCCCCATGCCGTGACCCGCTACTGGGCTGTGAGCCACTCAGAACCGGGCCACGGAAGCGGCAGGTAAGCGTGCGTGCATGCATCCTCACTTGCGTGAACAGCAGGGGAGTGTGCACATGCTTGCCGGCTGCTCACATAGGAACTATCCCCTCTTCCCCCCACCAGTCTGCAAATCCGGAAAGGTTGGGGAACTCTGAGTTAGATAATGTCATTGATGTAATAAAACAAGAATTTGGGCAAACTCCAGGAGATGAGGAGAGCCTGGCGTGCTATGGTCCATGGGGTCGCAAAGAGTCAGACATGATTTAGCTACTGAACAACAATTAATAAACATAAAAACATATCTGGAGTTCTCAATCTGGGTTTCTTAAGTTATCTATTTTGATTTTGAACAGGACCAAAACAAGATGTCAAAGCTGCTGGAGAGTTCATTCTGCAGTTATACAAGGATCAGAATTCAGACAAAGACATCTATGCCCACTTTACATGTGCCACCGACACCGAGAACATTCGATTTGTGTTTGCAGCTGTTAAAGACACCATCCTTAATCTGAATCTAAAGGAATTCAACCTGGCATGAATAAAAAGGGAATCCGCTACATACCTTTGACTATCCTACAATTTTATTTATTACTTATAAAAGATGTTCTGTGTAATAGATTTTTAACAATTGTTTGTGTCTTTGCTGAACCTGGAAATAAGGTTAGAACTTTTTAAGGAATAGGTTTTGAATATTCTGCTTTTAATTTTTTGGAGGGGATTTGTGAGCCTTTTGGTCATAATCACAAGAAATCCTTTTACCTTTCATAATTTATAATAGATGTGCGTTTGAACCTCGTTAAGGCCACAAGAATGATAGTTTGAGACTAATTGTATTGCTGTTATTCAACAGAAAGAGGGGTGCTTAGATTTGAGTACTTATTAAATCTATTTTTAATGGTGCCTTTCTTCTTGTAGTGAACAATCAGCCTTAACAGGTGGCAGAAGTTGGTTGCTCTTTTTTTAGGCTCAAAAAAATTAAAAAACCCTCCCTCCCTGAGTAGCCTCAAACCTAATTATTACTTGGGTTTGAATTATGTAATCCTCTCAGGCTAGATAAAAAAAGTGAAAACTGGTCTGATGAAGGGAATAGTAAAGTCTTCACATGCTGTTCCCGTGAAATTTGCATGAAGTTACCACGAGCTGAGTTTCATTGAAGAGTATTTATTTTACTTGCAATTAAACAATGGATACTAAGAGTTTGTTTGTATATTTTTTTCCACTTACTGACAGGAAACTACAACTGACAGGTGCTTTTATGGAAAACCTTGATGTTTTAATATTATTTGAATTAATATTAATAGGTTAACGAACCAAAGGCAGTTGTTTGAGGGACCCTCTCTTCCCAATTACACGCATCTATCAGGAAGGGTATATTATGGGTCCCATCTGCTAAGAAGTTCCACTTGAGGGGAACCAAAATATAAGCTTTTTCTGCTGTGGTTCCGGCCCTCTGGAACCCAAGTGAGCTTGGTCCTGTTCCTATTCCAGCTTTCTGAAAACCCTGTAATAAAACATGGTTTTCCCAACAACCACAGGGAACCTGCAAGATGGTCACACTATCGGATATTGATATTCTCCCCCAATCCTGGTTTCTATTTGTGTTTAATTTTTTAAATGATTGTTATATTTGTTTTTTTAATCATTTGTTTACTGTATGCTGCCCAGTGAAATGGGTAATTATATAAATTTTCTAAATAAATAGTGGCTTTCTATTATCAACGAATCCTTGTTTATAACTTGAATCATGCTTTGAGTCTCCATTCGATATCTTTTAAGAAAAATGTTTTACCTATTCAAAATCTTTCATAGCTCGTTCACTCTACAGCAGCCTACAACTGGATCAATAAAAGCAATCTTCGTTTTCAAGCTTTACAATCTCAGTCATTCAATGCAAAGGGAATGGGGAAGGGAAGGGAGATAAAATATTTGGGCAGCAATCGGAGACAGTTCAAGGGAAGGCAGGATGTGCTGCTTGCTTCTATGGCCTCTAAAGTGCTGCCAGACCGTGGCTGTCGCTAAGTGACAATTGTAGATGGGAGACCATGTAATGTTGCAAGTTTGGCATTATTTTAAAGCAAACTCTGTCCTCAAACTTTTGTTGAAGGTAAAGTGTAAGTCAAAAGATCAGTGATGCCCAGGGCCTTCTCGATGAATAAATATGTTACTGTGCTAATTCGGGGAAGAGAATGATTGACATTAAGAGGAGATGGTGGCAGTAAGGTAGAGCTTCATTGTAGTGAAATAGATTGTGAAATGCTATTATACAAATAGAAGTTATTTGTATAATAGCAGTGGTATTTGATAAAAACCCGCTGAAATAATTGCCTGCATCTCCCTATTAAAACAAAAAATGATTGGGTGATATATTAAAATTATTGACCAATCATTGTATTATGTAATTTAGTTTCCACAATCAAAATTTTCCCGAGGACTTTAACCTAGAAAAGAAATCTTCCCATAAATATAAATATATCTGTCTACACAGGGCCATGAAAGTTGCGCTATGATGATGATTATAGTGAGCTGACAGTTCATACTTTTTTTTTTTTTAATTACCCAACTTAGGTAGCTTTTTTCTGGCTGGGAAGAAGTATGCCTTTCTAAAAAGGCATTTTTTCCCTTCTTGTACAGCCTACCACTTGTCTTTTTTTTGGGGGGGGGGGAATGACAAAACAAAAACCCTACCCAAAAACAAAAAACTAAAACAATAAAAAAAACCTGTATTCAGGTAGCAACTTAGAAAACATTTGCTTAGCAACCATTTGAAGTTACGAGACTCCCCAAAAGCTATTTACAACCAGCTTTCAAAGTTTCAATGTTGCCCTGCCAGTCATGTGACTGTATTTTTGGCGCTCAGCAACCAGCCACACTTATGGAAGTTTGCAGCATCCTGCAATTATGTGACCACGATTCATGACTGTTTGCTGGAAACAGGCATTTATTTCTGGTTTCCAGCAATGGATTTGCTTAATGACTGTGGTGTTTGTTTAACAAACCATGGTGTCTGCTTAATGACTGTCATGAAAAAGATTTTTAAAAAATGGGTCTGGTCATGTGGTTATCCACTTTACAATTCTCCTAATTTACAACTGTAATTGCCAGGTTCAATTACGTGCTTAAGTCAATGACTACCTGTAAATGAATTTCTTTACCTAAACATAGATTTGGTCTTGAAACATGTTTTTGGTTCTTTTCTCCGCTCAATCCAAGCTAGTTTCGTCTCCTCCTTTCATGGACCTTCAGCAACATCCTCGGGTTACTCAATGGAATGCAGGCTAAATATCTAACAAACATTTTACATAATATATGTGCCTATTTGATAACTTTTTAAATAAATACAGCAGATATGATGAGAAAATAAAAACTACATCCAAATAAGGTCAGTTGAAACAGTGTAAAAGCTATATATGTATTTATTGTATATCTTGAACGATGCTATATAATTGGCCTTACTGTACAATGCAGTAATTGAAAATGCTCAAGTGTGTCAGAGATCCCAGATAGGTATCGCAAACTTGAGCCACACAATACAAATTTATACTTTGGCATTTCTGATAATTTAATTTATAGGAATTATATAAAGAAATAAAAGCTTGGAACGATGCAATGTGGGACAGTACTTGCCTCAAGCAGTTACATAAAACATATCAGACTATATTATAAATACATCACACATACTGTCACACTGGGCATGCCATTTACTTTATTCAGCTTTTACAACAAAGCTACAGTTTGATTAGTTTAAGCACCATTAGCAAAGACTAGTTTTCCTCTACCACAATCCTTCAATCTGGAAAGAATATTCTGGCAGCAGACATTTACTGCATGCATCAAACTACTCAAGTCTGTATTAGGCAATATATTTTATGTACATTTGCATTCCATTTCTCTTTTATGAAGTAGCCTCTGTCATAAAGGTGTGATAGGCAGTATTTATTTGCATAGTCTTAAAATTAACCTTGTGCAATATTTTCCCCATCCTATGTGTGTATATGTTTTGATGAATGTTTTAACATTACCTTCTATTAAATATTCTGTAACGAGCCATGGATTCCCCGTACCCCTCCAAATCACATACAAACCCACAGGGGCATTCTTAGATAAAATTAGGGATGTGTTACACTTTGGATCCAAAGCTGAAAAAGTACTTCAGAGTGGGCACAACACATGAATTTTCCTGGAGTACTTCAGCAAGTCCAAAAGAAGACAGCTTTTTTTAAGGAGATGCCAGCAGATGTGATGCAAGACATGTTCACTCTGAAACATGATTTTGATCTCATATCCAAAATGTAACTCATTCCTAAATGAAAAACTATGATTCAAAGCTAATACAGTACTTCAGAGTGGGCACAAAAATACATGCATTTTCCTGGAATTCTTCAGCAAGTCCAGAAAAAGTCAGTTTCTTTAAGAAGGTGTAAACATATGGGATATAAGCCCCATTCACTCTGAAACATGCTTTTGACTTCAAATCCAAAATATAACTCATGCCTAAATGAACTAGTACTTTAAAACATGATGCGGTGTTGATAGTTTTCTGACTTCACCTTGACCATTGCCATTCAAAGAATCACTAAAATTTCATATTTTGTTTGATAGATATTTGCTTAATTTTGCGATACCAGAACATTTTGCTAATTTTTGTATTATATAAAAATGTGATTATTAAAAAGGGTGTTACAGTACCATAAACTCCTTATCTGTATAAAAAATTAAATCACTTCATTATATACATATATATCTATATCTATTAGTAAACAAAAAGCTTCTCAAACAAAGCAAGGTCAGCAAGGTAATATCAGAACTTTGCTGGTTAAATCGGTCTTCCTGAATAAAACTGAATTTCAGTGAATATTAATGTGATGTGTCAGTACAGCATTACATTCTAATAAACACTGAACAAAAAGGGAAGAGCCTGATTACCCTACATCATAAGACTTTGCTAAGATGTTTGGTCTTGTTGATTACATGGCAGATCAAAAAGTAAAACCAATTTAGTTTAGATTTAAACAATTATTTATAAATACAAAATCAAATAAGCCACAATTCAACAGCAGCTTTCAGCAATAGAGCTGCTTGCGCATATTGGTAAAACCGACCTTTTTCACTTAGTAGTATAGAAGATTCAAAAACAATTGATTTAAATACACAAAATTACGGTGTCAATCTCTTTGTATTTAAATAGTGTCACATGCTTTGAAGTATAAAACAACTGCAATGTTCTTATTTTCTTCAACTGGTCATAGTTTTGGTTGACTCTCGTTTACTTTTTCTTCCAGCTTAGAGAGGATCCACTGCAGAAATTAAAAAGAAATTTGAACAAACCTGACTTAAAGCAAAAGTGATTTAATTAATAAAAATGGGGGGAAATTTACAAACTAATGAAGCTTATAGCTAAACACTGAACAATTCATATGATGTCATGAATCTCATAGTTGACATAACTGTGAATCACCTGGTTAAGCCACACTTGGATGAAAATAGCTTCTCTGAGAAATGTCACACCCATACCTTGCTACTTCTACTATGAAAAATTTGATACCAGGATTATGCAATCTGGGCACTTCAGATCTATCTGCACTCCTAGCATCACTAAGCAGCATCGAAAAAGAGCAATGGGAATTGCAATTAACAACTTCTGAAGTACTTATACAATATCCATATAGTAGCATGCTGGGTTTGTACATTACATTCAGTTTTCCTTCAAAACAGGATATTAATATATTATGTAGTAATAGCATTTCATATTCACCTTTGCATCTTCTGGTGTTTTAAAATTAATTATTTTTCCAAATTCTTTGGCATGAAATACAGACTTCACTCGTTCCTGAAATAAGCAAACAAATACAGTTGTGCATTAAAAGCACATTTCCAAAATACCCAGCAGCACTATTTTTTTCCATTCTAGAAAAGGATTCACAAGTTAAATAATAAAATTAATATTTGTTTAAAATGTCTTTTCAGTTTTGCAGATCTCCCCCCCCCCCTTCCAACAACCTGTGACTGGCTCCCAAATGTAAACTTTTTTTCTGAACATTTAGAGTGCTCAGTGGGGGGATGGGCAGCATCTATTTGCTGCAGTTAGAGCAAAAGATGCATCAGAAACCTTCTTAACTTGATATCCTCAAATGCATTGGATTTCAGCTGATTTAGCACAGCTGGAGACCACTAGATTGGAAAAAATTGCTATGCAGGAAGAGAAAATCTTCTCTACGACAGCAGACTACATAAAACTGTTCTGCAGCAAGCTGAAACTCTTGTGCATACACAATAGAATAGGCATTTTGCCAACTGTTATAATCTAAATAAATAAGCTAAAGGTTTCATATAAAGTTTAGTAAAACAATACATTAAATATTAATTTATTGTACAAAATGAATTTTAAGTATAGCTATATAAAATCTTTTGAGAGTATTGATTGAGAAAGGATCCCAAATGCAGTTGTAAAACAGGACAAAGGATGGACAGCATTATATATGTGAAGGACACTCATTTTATTCATTGTTCTGGCATGTTAAACTCTTGCAAATTCATTTTGCAAGAGTTTAACTCAGAAGTCCAGTTTGGCATGGGAAAGTTTCCGCATCTTGATTTATGCAATGATCTAAATGCTCTTAAATGAAAAAAGGTTAATGACTAAAGCTTCTTTTTTGTATGTAATATACAGGTAATATCTGACATGGCTCTGTCCCGGAAATGAGCCTGATTTTTAGAGTGGT